AGATGGCGATGGAATCAATCACAAAAAAAATAGTTCCCATTATTCTTGAACCAACCTAAAATTGTATAGCAACAACCCCTCTTGCTTTAGAAGAACCTCCAGCAAAATTGCTTATGTTGATATTAGTAGGAAACAAATCCCTATTGATTTACCTATTGTTCTCAAGGTCCTGGAAGGGAGAATGTTGACTACAGCTCCATTATCGACTAGAGCCCTATCGACTTGTATTCCATCCAAGTGAGCCTTCACGTACAATGGTCTTAGATGCTTGATTAGTTTCTCTTTAGGTTTCTGTAAGACCAATTTTTCTCCATCTACTGACTTAACCACCTCAATTGATCTTGGTGGTTTAGCTTCTGCTTCAGACATTGCTATATGTACAACTTATTATGTCCAATCCTCAACATCACCTGGCAACATGCCTGGCTAGTCTGACTTGGCCTGAAACCTCTTTGGGATGGCCATGATCAGTTACATTCCTTACTATGAGGAGGCAAAGACCCAAATTAAATGGATGTCATATTCTCCTCAAACTCCTCTGAACTTTCTGACGTAGCATCTTCCTTCACATCAGCATTACCCTCATCTACAATAGACTTTGCAATTTCTTAGCTTTGATCTTTCATTTATACATCCCTCATATCACCTTCATCATCAGATATCAACTCTTTCTCTAATTCTTTTAGTTTCATCCTTAACATTGCCATATCAGGTATCAATTTACCATCCTTCTTCTCTTTGTTCACCACTAGTCTCTTCAGTAGCTGCACTAGTGGCTGAATTACTTTTTCTTTTGATGTTGATCCCCCCATTGTTTTTGGTGGAACATAATCATCCTTGGTCCAGACTAAATTTCTTGTACTTCTATCACCTTCCATTCTGGACATCATTGCATGAAATTTTCTTTGTTTTCTCATCTTCTGAGTTCTAATTGGTCCCGTTTTCCATTATCCACTTAGAGGAAACTTTGGATGAACAACCCATGCCAACCCAAGTTAGGTGGCACTAGTGGTTTCACCATCATTGGCTGAACATTTGGCCTTATTTTTGGACTACTTTGATGCTGTAAACCATCAAATTGTCTTGTAATCTGCTACTGACCACCATATGGCCTCCTAGTTTGTTACTGGCCAATGTATGACTTTATGAACTATTGTTGTTGTATTGCCTTGTTACCTGCGTTGGATCTCCATAAGGCTTAGATCCCTTCCATTGTTTCAACTTGGCCCTAATAATGCTTAGGCCACCAAAGCATAGATGCATAGGAGCCCCATGAAACAAGAATGGGGCATCATCCTCACCATAGTCTTCAATAGGTCCAAATATTCCTAGATCTGACCCATCATAGAATATGTTGTCATTATCAAAAATTTGTAAGTCACCTCCACCCATGGTATTAAACCTAAGGCCAAAATCTCTTCCTCTTTTCTAAATCCCATCTACCACAATGGCTCTAGCGTTCTCTCTTTTAGTGCCACATCTGAAACATATGAACCTCTCGTTAGGCTCTTCTTGAATCTTCTTACCCTTTGTTTCCTTAGTAATTATTTCCATCATTTCTTTATGAAGTTTCTCCAACTCCACCAAGAGAATTCTAGGGTTCCTACCTTTCTTTTTCTGGCCAGTCGACTGAAGATCAGTGGGCACCATATCTAGGAATAGGTCACTATTGACTGCCATTACTCCTTTGTCTTTTTCTGCATATTTCAACATCCCTTTCTAAATTAAGTATTGCACACAATTTCAAAATGTGACACAATTGTTAGTAGAATGTCTGAAAGAGTTATGCCATTTGCAGTACTCTTTTCCAACTTTATCTCTTTCTTTAGGAATATTATGGCCAGAGATTAAAGTCAAAAATTTGTTGGCCAAAAGCTCATCAAACAAGGCATCAGCTTTTGACAAATCAAAAGTATACTGTCGATTTGATGCAGCCACATTTCTTTTAGTTGGCTGTGTTGATGGCATATCAACAAGCTTCTCAACCTTTCTCAAAGTCTCACAAACCATAGGTTTTTTCCCAATTACTTGTGCCATATCAATATCTACATCAAAGTCAAATTCAACTTCAACTTCTTAGTAATAAGTACCAAGTGAAGTTGCATTTCTTTGTTGTTCTTCTCTAAGAATTGACTCATAACTAGTTGCCCTTGAAGAAAAACCATACAAGTCTCTAAACGTCATTTCCTCAAATTTCTTTCTTAACTCAAAAGCCAAACCATTTTGAGCCAGTCTTATAACTTCTATCTCAAGCACATATGCATAACATCTGTTTTTTGCTCTTTTGAACATATCTATGTATTGTTCAACCATTTCTCCTTATTTTTGTTTAAATTTTGACTGGTCCACCAGAGTAACTTCAGGTTTAGTCTTGAAGAACTAAGCCTGAAATTGACTTTCCATTTCTTGCCAAGTATGTACAGAGTTTTTTGGCAAGTTAATAAACCAGGTAAATGCAATCCTAGAAAATGATTGTGGGAAAGGTTTCATTTTTAGAAAATCATTTTGTCCCACTTCTCCACACTGCAAAATAAACCTTCTTATATGTTCAATTATGCATTGCCTCTCTTCTCCTATAAACAGAGAGAATCCAGGCACTTTAAAATGTATGCTTGTTGTTGTCTTCCTCCATGAAATTCCGGTTGATAATAAGAGATCAGGGCCTCTAGGCCTTGGGTTCATTACATTAGGTTCATAGTAAGGTTGTTTCATGACAGGTTCTTGAATGTTTTGAGACCTTACTTGATTAGGTAGCTTGAATCTTTGATTTTGCCATACCATAGTGACCAACTGCAAACGTATCAAATGCATAATTGTCATATATTTGTGGCCTTAGTTGCCCTCCCAGGTCTTGGTCCTAGGTCATTTGGATTATAATTAAAGACTAGATTTGGGAGATACTCTCTCATTTCTGTATACTCAAAGACAAAATTTATATTGATTCACTCCTCATATCTTTCTTGAAGTATGGGAGGTCTATAAAATGGTACATGTTCATTTACATTTGTATGTTTTTTAGGAGTTATAGAAGGACCATATTGTACCTTATTTCCTTGAGTTTCCTCCATAACCTTTCTTAATTAGCTTGGCTTGATGTTGTTCTTCTTCAACAAAGCAAGCAACTCATCAATCATCACTTGGTTCTCATGGGAAGACATAGAACCAATTCTCTACTGTGTGTGCAACAGATAAGCCCTTCCTGGATCGATGAGAGGGCCACTTGTCTGGCCTAAAAAAGATGCATTCTAGCCATTTCCATGTCCTTCTTCTTGCGCAGTCACTGAATGGCCATCTTCCACATTCTTTTCCACTCCTTTAAACTCATTATCTGGGTCTTCTCCATTATCAACCATTTTCTCAAGGTCTTCAAAGATCTCATATTGTTTCTTCTTAGCCATCGCTCCAAATTAGATAGGTCCCACTAGGCGTGCCCAAATATGTTTGCAAAAATCCAGTTTGAGTCAAATCGACAGAGTGGATTCAACAAGAAAAAAACAATTTTCACAAACAATAATAGATCAAGCAACTGTGGTTTGTGTCCTAAGCCTTGACACATTCAAGGACTTCTTTGGAGGTTGTAATGTGAAGGAACAAATATAAACACATTGGAAATATGATTAATAACACTTAAACTTGTCAATTAATTACAAGAATCAAACCACAAGTACCAAGCAATACAATCGATAGAGTTCAAAAGCACTAGTAACAAAGATTAACTGATAATCTACTGTTAAGTACAAGAATTACTCCTATGGTAAATTAAACTACTCCTAGATTTCACAAGTGTTGTGACTTTGATTGAAGGTCTCTTCTCTTCAAATTTCCAGCTCTTATGTTGCTTCACTAGCTGTGCCAAATAGCTACGTGTTCATCTGTTGGTGCCTTCCACTTGCTCATGATCCATAACTGCTGCAACTGCCTTCCATTCTTTTCTCCTTGGAATTGCCATGTGCCATGCCCTTGATCTTTCTCTTCAATCCACTATCTTCATGCCCATGACTAGGCCTATGCACGGGTTGATTTGGATCGGGTTTGACCCTTACACTGAACCTAACCGAACATGATCGGATTAGAGTCTTATAAACCAATCTCGACCATTCAAATTTCTGAAATTGACCACTAATGGCAAGCGGGTTGGGAAAATTACATTTTTAGATTTTTGAATTTTGGGCTTGTACATTTTTTGTCCTTGTTTATTACAAAAAAGTCAGCCCACTTTGAAGTAAATTGGCCTGTTTTGGGCCAACTTCATTTTTTCCCCCTTGTTTAATACAAAAAAAAAAAAATGAGCTCATTTTGAAGTAAATTGGACTATTTTGGCTCAACTTCATTTTTTTCCCTTGGTAATTGTTAACATCAAATATAACTTTTCCATTGGCCTATTATAGGCCAATTTCAGTATCTGTAAACAAGTAAACATGACCACCAAAAGCTAATTCATTTTTCAATATGAAAAAAAAAAAAAAACTATCATTAGACTAAATATCTTTCCACATAATATATTGTTCAATATCCAAAATTAAAAAATAACATAAACAACATTAAAAGGCCAATTATCTTGCTACCAAAAGTAAGTATCCACCATTTGCTAAAGGATAAATATCATCCACATTCCAGAATTCAAAAGCTAAATATCCAAAATCCAAAAACTAAAGCAATTACTAACTTGCTATAATCCAAAAGTGGTGTGGTTCTCTAAAGATGTAATTGTACCTATGAGGCTGTAACTATACTCTATAGTAATTGCTAAGTGGCAAGACTAAGCCGTTGGCTAAGGCATGATGCATTGAACAATGCAATCTACCACAAAAATTCAAAAATAATAGCCAACAGTCACAATAACACTTGGCAGCAACAAAACAAAATGTTAAAAAGAAAGTGACCAAGTCTGCTACTATTTAGTGTTAATTAAGTTCATCCACATGAACAGAACAAATAGCAAAAAGTGTAGTGCAATAAACAAAAGCCATATGTCTATCTTGCTGCATGCACTTGTCTCATGCAAAAATAAAATTGAAATTAGATTTCATGTACTAAATATAAAAGAAAAAGTTATAGAAATATAATGCCCATATTACATAAACAAAATACAATATACAATTTCATTACCAAGCCATTTCCAATTCTAGACATTAATAACAGTCCTTGCTACTGGGGTTGAGCATGGGCTCGAGCTTGTGCTTGATTCTTGAAAATCTGAAAATAAACAATAGTTAGTAATCCAAAGGTCCATGTTGATCAAAGTAAATTCAAAATGTATACAAAGTCAACTATATACTATTTACCTAAGTCATATTGATCAAATTGTTCAACGTCATCCATTGCCTTGCGAAGAGAAATCGGTATGTTGCTTTGAAGCCAAATTTGTAAGCATACAAGTACTTCCACCATCATAGGAGATAATGAGCTACGAAATGGATCAAGGATTCATCCTTCCGTACTACATGCTAACTCAGATGCAACTATAGAAACAGGCATGGCTAACTCATCATGTGCAACTTGGGACAATACTCGATATTTTGAGGAATTACTCTTCCACCAATTCAAAATGTCAAATTTCTCATCTTTTGTACCTTAACAGAGCTCAACTAAGTATGCATCCACCTCAGATTTGTAGAAAATACAATATTCAGAATCCAAATATGAATTGAATTGAGATGATATGAACAATTATGGATCATCGCAATCATCATCCACATGCATGGCAGATTGTTCACTTGTATTAGTCACTTCCACACTACTTGAATCATTTGCAACATAATGGTCAAACAAACAAGTCAAACAATCCTTCACTTGACCCGTCATTTGATTCACCATTTCAACCCCATATAATTATGAAAAACAGAACTTGAAATACCTCAACTTCTTTCTAGGATCAAGCACCACCGCAACATACAATAAAAGATTTATTTGATCTCCATTCCCCCAATATTTTTGAATTTTTTCCTTCATGCCTTTGGCCATTAAAGATAACAATTCATTCTCATTTGACTCATTTTTTGACAATTGGTAAATTTTGGATTGAATAATCAAAAAAACAATTTGAAGTAATATAAAGTGAGCCCGAAAATCGCTTGGTAGCATTGTAGAATTGCCCTAGGAATTTCACAAACAATCTATAATTGTACCAATCATTCTCGGTTGGAGCCCTCTTTTTCCCACTTCCTTTCTCCCCATTATATCAACTCACATCACCCGAAAAACAAGATTTATAATTGGAGTCCTCATCCTCCATCCGCTCAAAGGCCTTCTCAAATTTTTTAGCTGCCTCTAACATCAAGTAGGTGGAGTTCCACCTAGTGGGTACATCAAGACATAGAAGAGACCTTGTCTCAATTTTTTTTTCTCTCTCCACACATCTCTTAAAAGTCTCTAGCCTATGTGGAGATGACCTTATATATCTCACAACATCACATACACATGCAATCAATGCATCTAATTCTTTCAAACCCTCACTCACTATGAGATTGAAAATATGCGCACAACAACGCATGTGTAAGAACTCATGTCCTAAGACAATCCCTTTCCAATCCTTTGTTTTCCTCTTCAAGTATTTAATGGTTGTGTTGTTAGAGCTACCATTATCAATTGTTAAAGAAAAAACACAACCAATATTCCACTCAAGCAAACACATTTCAATTCTTTTACCAATGGTTTCTCCCTTGTGATCTTCAACTTGACTAAAATTTATGATTTGTTTTTGTAATTTCGATTCATCATCAATGAAATGGATAATCAGGCACATCTAATCCAAATTCTGTATGAATATCTAAGTGTTAGTAGTAAGGCACACTCTATGAGCCCTCAACACATTCCTTAACTTATCCCTCTCTTGGTTAAAAATTGCTACAATATATTTGGAAATAGTGGTATGACATGGGATTGGTTTGAACTTAGGTTGCAAGACGTTGCAAAATTTTCGAAAACCAGCTCCCTTAACAAACCTAAATGGCAATTCATCTAGTACAATCATCTCAGCTAGAGCTCTTTTACCAGCCCCTACAGTGAAGGTTGTTGCCACAAGTTCAACACCCTCTTCTCCAACCTTTTTGTGTTAAAAAGATAAGGTTTGTTGTCCCTTACCACGTTCTCTATAGGGATATTTTGGACAACTACCCAAATGACTCAACAAATTACTTGTCCCATGCCCTTTTGGATCTGCTAGGTATTCCTTTTGATAATATTTGCAAATAACCATCGTTTTTCCAACTTCTTCACTCTTTATTTTATCAAAATGATCGCAAGCTCTGGACGGTTTTCTCCTACTACCCTTTTCTTGAACTTTACCCTTGTCATTGAGTGGTATAGGCAACAGATATGTAGAAAGAGGGGGATCCATTATCTAGACCAAAATACAAGTAAAACATTAGCAAACATTTTTAAATCCCTCCTAAAAATATTTAGCATGTCACAAAATTTTTTATTACAATTTAAATCCCCACCAAAACAAAAAATAGCATGTCACAAAACAATAACAAAATAATGAAAGCATGGTTAAACTAAAAACAATAATCATAACATGCTTTAGCAAAATAACAAAGAGTAAAAATCATTAGCAATGATAATTAAAATAAAGTGATCAGAGAGCATGCAATTTTTTTTTTACTATTCTTTAGAAAGTAAAGAGAGAGCATGCTTAAACAACAAGAAAAAAAAAATACTGAACACAAAATATATCATGCTTAAAAAAATAGTATTCTTAAAATAAATAAATAACTAAAATCAAATTCAAATAAAAGTTAAATAAAGAAATGAACAGATGGTTAAACTAAAAACAATAATCATAACATGCTTTAGCAAAATAACAAAGAGCAAAAATCATTAGCAATGATAATTAAAATAAAGTGATCAGAGAGCATGCAATTTTTTTTTTACTATTCTTTAGAAAGTAAAGAGAGAGCATGCTTAAACAACAAGAAAAAAAAATTCCTGAACACAAAATATATCATGCTTAAAAAAATAGTATTCTTAAAATAAATAAATAAATAAATAAAATCAAATTCAAATAAAACGTAAATAAAGAAATGAACAGACTTTAACCTAAAATATATATAAATTTATTTTTGAAAAAAAAAGAAAAAAGCCAAGCACAAAACTGAATAAATAAGAGTTTGGTTTCAAAAATATTAAAAAACAAAGAGTATTTTTGTTTTTCAACAAAAGCAAATATTATTAATGCAAAAAGAGTATGAGAGGAACATAACATAACAATTTTTTTTTGTTTTTCTGGTAACATAACAAAAGCTTATGTAATAGGAAATATTATTATTAAAAAACCAATAGCATTAGAACATGCTTACATAATAGAAACAGAGAGTATACAAAAGAGTGGATCATAGACCTACTTGATGAAAGAAATTTTAATTAAAATACAGAAGTTTAGGGTTTAAAATGATAGAACCGATTGATAAGAGAACTATAAAGAAAGAGTTAAAATCAAAATACAGAATCCTTACCTTAGGGTTTTTGTTAGTTTGATCTGATGACAAATACATCCACCCCGCCAAAAAAAAGATTGTGAGGGGCTTTAACCTTCAAAACTCATGATCACAAAATAATAGAGAGACTGAGAGTAAAGAGTGACGAATGAGAGTAGGAAAGATGTAGTTTGTATGTAGATATTATTATTATTATTATTATTATTATTATATATATATATAGAGAGAGAGAGAGAGAGACTAAATCAGAAAAGACATAATGGATGGATGTATTTTGGAAGTTGGAACTCAGAATGAGTAGAGTAGCCAAAACGTCTCTCTCTATTCTTGAGAGATGTGAAATGGGCTAGATAGTAGGTAGGGTAATAATTGTAGTCTCCAAAACCAATGTGGCCGGCTATAAAAAAAATCTGGAAGGCAAAGACAATGGATCGGGTCGGTTTCGATGAGTTTGGTATGTTTGTATCTGCTCCTCGAACCGAAAATCGAAAAACCAACACTTATAGAACTGCAGCCAACCAAACTATGCATCGAAACCGCTCATTTATTGGTCAGCTCAGTTAGTCCGGGCGGGTTAGGCAGGTGGGTCGGATCTCTGCACACCCCTACCCATGACTCTTGGACCCTTACTACCCACGTCCATGCTCTTCCACATGCCTCTCGACGGAGAATTTGAACAAGTCCACAATAGAGATGACCGATTCTGACTCCTCTGAACCTCAACTACGGGCTCCTCCTCATTCCCCTATTTTTAGCTTTCCAGCAATGTCAGTTGAGCAAATAATAACAGCACAGTTTGACATCGAAGCAAACTCGTATACACCGAGGTCATGTGTGGAGACCGTGACTGCAGTCTCCAACTTGTCCCGTCGACTGCAAAACAAGACGTATGAGGTACATCAGTTAAATGCACAACTCTCCCTCCTCTAATGTATGTACAAAGACACTCGCGTAGAAATTAGTGCGCTAAAAAAGAAAAGCAAAGAGTTAAAACGACAGGCCACCTCTGGGACTTGATTCGGAGTTTCTTCGCACAACCAATTTGATGGCCGACGAGGAATAATCTCCTTCAGAAGCTCTGCCAAGACCAAGGCAGAGTCTTCAAGAGCTTCGAAAGAGTAAAGATGAAGTGAGGTAGTTGATGGTAAAGTCAGGCAACGAAGCTGTGTGCAAATGAAGCCAATTGTAATCTTCGTCGCCGGGCTGCTGCCGAAGAAGAAAGAAGAAAAAGATCCCTCTCTCTTTTTTTTTTATTCTTTTTTTTATTTTTTTATTTTCTATTTTTCTGGGTTTGTTTTTTGTGTTTGGTACAACTTTGATCGGGGTTGATCCTTGGCATTAATAAAACAAGTTTGTTCTGTAAATCTGGATGGTATGAATGGCATAATACTGAACATAAAAATCATTTTATTTTGTAATTTGTACTTGAAAATGGCTGCCTTTTAGTGAATTCTGAACTAAATATTGAGCCTATCACTGACCAAAACACAAAACACAATTTAATGAAATGAAAATGAAGCAAAAACCATCCCAAAACACACCCCTTTGTGCTTGTCGGAGCAAAATGAATGCAAAACAAAGCAACACCGGTCGACTGCCCGACGGAAAAGCATCGCCGGTGACAACTACTATGCATTTTTCGGCGATTGCTTGATTAAGGTGATAGTGTGGGTAAAGGACATAAAACCTGACTCAACTGTGTCCCTAGTTCATCACTTTGCCCTTTTTTGTTTTTCCTTTCTGCTAAAGCGATTTTGATCAACATGAGAGATACATTAGCACACTTGTTCCATTTTCTATCTTGAAATCATATGAGCCAAATTATGAGCACTGAAAATTTTCTCTTTTGGTCCAAAGAATGGTCTGAGTTTTAGAAAAATGGAATAATTTTTGAGAAAATCAGTCAACTTCATTAAAAGTTCTCAAAATTTATTTTCGCAAATGAACACTACTCAATCAACATGAAATTAGCCCTTGAGATGTGCAACTGAATTCGTCTTGCGACTGAACCCGTCATGAAGGAGAAATAAGACAACTGAATCAAATGGGGACGAGCCAATCAAATATGGATGGCCGAGTCAAATAAAGATACACCAATCCAACATGGACGAGATGAGTGAGTTGAAAAAT